CTCACACACCCTCTGGTTCTCATAGGCCTGAGCCTCCATGGCAACCAGCTGTGGAGGGAAGTAAGAGGCCGGGGAAAGGCCAACCAGCTGCGACTCCCAGATAACCCAGGCCAACTTTGACATCTGTTCGTGGTCTCAGTGGCGGACTCTGACGTTCCAGACTCATAAGGATAGAAACTGAAGGGAGAACTTTCATCACTGTGGTCCTCAGGTACCAAGGGGGCCTCTCAGATGTCTCTAGGAGTCAGGATACTGCAGCATCTGACCCAATGGGGGACGGGATCTTGAAAGCAGACACAGAAGCCTGACTATGATCTTGAAAGAGGCCCCCAGAGATGTGGGAGGGAATGAGGAAGGAGCTCTGGGTTTCTAGTCAGCAGATCTGGGTTTTCTTTGATGCTATAGAGGACATTTAGTGTCCTCACATGGAAATTGAGGATAAACTACCTTTAGTGTCTGCTACCCAGATTCATGGGGAAGATGCAATGAGATAATGGACATGGAAATAGCCTATAAACTATACGTATAAATGTCAAGTGGCATCCCAAATGAAGATCCTGAATTCCACCCTCTGAATTTACAGAAGAAAATCTGGGACCCAGGGAGATGGAGTCTGGCTCAGTGCGAACCAGTCCTTTTATGGAGAGGGATGGCGATGGCATGTGGGTGATGGGGTCGAGGTTGACTAAGAAGGTAAAATTTAAGAAAAATAGAACACCGTGGACAAATCAAGGAGGCAAAAACATTTTCAAGGAAGTTCACTTAAATCTGGGCTAGATGAGATGAGAAAAGTGATTCTGTGATTATTTTTTCAGGTCGGAGGATCTTGCTCTTGGTCATGGACATTAACTGGAATTGATTTCAGCTGAATCTTTTCATCTTGAGGCTTGAGGCTAGAGCTGATTCTGTGAGTAATCTACCCATGCCATTCTTTTATTAAAAATGCTCCTTTAGCTTGACGACCCCCTTCTAACACTAACATGGGTGAGAGAGGTCTGGCGAGTTTGGAAAAGAATATGAGGGTCAGAGAGGATCTGCTTTGAAAAGGAGAAGGTTGAGGCAGCTTAGTAGAGCAATTAAGAGCACAGACTTTCGAGCCAGACCGCTGGGGAAGAACCTCAGTTTTGCTGCTCACTAGCTGTGCCACCTTGGGCAAGTTACTTAACCTTCCTCGGTTTTCCCATCTGTAGAATGAAAATATGAACAGTACTCACATGCCAGGATTGATGTAAGGCTTAAGCAAATTAACATATTTAAAATGCTTAGAAAGGTCTCTGGCACACATTCAACTCTACTCACTTGTTCATTAAATAAAAATAAAATGTCTTGTGTATAAAGGATGGACATGCATTAATTAGGCCATGGAAATGTCTCAGAAAGAACATGAGCTTTGTCATCAGACAGACTTATATTTGAATACTAATTCCACATCCTTTTCCTATCAACATTTATATTTTTCTAATTATAAAATGCATATGTGTTTATATGTAGTAGAAGTTATAGAAAATACAAAAAGCCAGCAGGAAGGAAATAAAGACCAACCCTAATGCTACCACAGGGAGATGGTCACCACCTAATATTGTTGGCAATGATGTCTGCATTGGGGTCCTCTGTTTGCATATTCCTCAGGGAGATCCAGGAATCATTTGAGGGCAAGGAACTATGACTACCTAGTTATAAAAAAATTTTTTTTAAAACAATGATGAGACCCTTGATATGTAATTCAGAGCCTTTAATCGATGCACTTTTTACAGCTCTCTGTTCCCGACTTCCAGGGGCTCAGTTTTCCAGTGATACAGCATGCCAAGCATTTAGATCGCAACTCATAAATTTCTTCTTCCAACTTCCCTGCTGTAATTACTTGGCCGCCCACATCATTATTGCCAATTGCCAAGTGCGGCCAGTGAGTGACAGGTAGATTATTTGCGCCTGATGTGGGTCACACTTTTGCTAGGTCTGAGAGTTTTTCTTTAATGCTGTGCTAGAAGGCCATAGATGGGTAGCAGAGTAGGAGTAACAGGAGAAATCTACTGGGTGATGATTTGGCAGCCTGAGGAAAGTTGTAAATTAGGCTGTCAGAGGGGAACTTTCTGGCAAACTCAATGAACAAACACAAGGTGTGAGGTGGCCAGAACTCATAATAAGCTAACTTTCTCTCTCACTGGTGGTTTCCTCTTGTTGGTCTTTTTGGTGAAGTGGTTAGACGTGTTAACTATCACCCAAACAGAATCTGAACTGCTGTGGGGTTGGGGATAGTGTGGTGGCCAACAGCAGTAAAGAGAGGACTGCAATGTACAGGTTCACAGTCCGAGCAGTGTTCCGTGGGCTTGGACACTGGTTGATGGCATAACCCAGTGGTTTTCAATTGGTGTGCCACAATACACGGGTGTGCTGCAAGGATTTTTAACACATGCAGTACCTGACTGTTTACTCAGGGCACTGACCTTCTTTCCTTTAGGTTGTCAAATAAAAATTAAATGACAACAGCCAATACAACAATAGCCACCTGGTGTGAATGAATCAAAATTATACTTTTTTTTTTTTTTTTTGGTCAGAATGGCAAAAAAAAAAAAAAAAAAAAAAAAAAAAAAAAGAAAAAAAGAAAAAAAGAAACTCAATATATTTTTTTGATGTGTCACAGAATTGTAGTCATTAATTTATGTGTGCCATGAATGAAAAAGGTTAAAAATTGCCGGCACAACCAAATCTATTTGTGGGCACTATCCATGAGCAATGACACACAAACTAGGTTTCCCTGTCATTTTAGTGACTTTAGGGATAGTTCTGAACACCCCACTTTGTTTCCAACTTCACAGAAGGGGAGGGCCTATGATATAAAATTATGACATTGATATTATAGAAACTTTAAGAAGGTTTTCTCTCTCTTCTCCCATTTAGTGGACAAAGAAGGCCTCGCTATGTATGGTCAATCCACTTGTGTAAGTTAACCTCCCTATGGGAGCCTCCTTCTTTAGCCTGTATAACAGCAATTCACACCGATGTCTGACTTAGGGATGCATCTACCTCTCCCACAAAAGCCTTTGTCAACATGGCCACACCTACTTTCACTAGTGTGACCAAGCATTTTGGTTCGCCTAAGGCACTAATAGTTCGTGATACCACTTGTCCCAAGCAGTAAGTTTTCATAGAGCCCCACCTCATTCTCAGAAGTATTCCAGTGAGGATAATAAATTATATGCCACTTCGTCCCCAACGTGAATGAAATCAGGGAGGAGCATGCCCATAGACAGGCCTACCTCCCTTTTCATATGGTTGCTTCGCTCAGAAACATTTCCAATGCTTCTGTCTGTAAGACTCTTGGCCTAAGGTCATGATCTGACTTCATTTCTCCAGCAATATTCCTCCCAGCCTCTTAGCATATTATTTTTCAAACTTTTTTTTTTTCTGCAGCAGAATCTGTTTTTTTCAGATGAGAAGGTAGAGGCTCCGATATTTAAAATAGATGAAGTGGAGCTTTTCCTGGTTGAAACACAGTGGGAGCTCTATTGATCCTCATGTCGTTGTCGAATGCAGATTTAAATCCCCTGTAGGAGCTTATGCTACCACCAATTTAAAGTGTTGCCATTTTATAGGATGAATATTTTTGTACTCTAGAAAAGTTAGGTTAGTCATACAGTATTTATTTAAGCTTGGCAAAGGTTAATAATTCGGTTCTTAAAAAAATATCATCCTGTGTTCAGCTTCTATTTTCAGTTAGGCTAATCGTGTGGTCTTGATTTTTCAAACCAATTGGGCTTACTTCGTTGTTCTCCCATAGAATATGGTGGAGGAACAATCATGCCAACCACAGATCCCCTGGGTCCTGGTCATGGTAATTCCCTGATCTCACCTTTCCCTTGGGGGCCCTTTAGCTTAATTCTGGATTTATGGCTTCTCCTCTGTAACCTGACCCTTTGTCTGTGAATTGAAATGCTATTCCAGCAGACTTATTTTTCTGTTTTTCTCCTCAACTCTTCAGCAGACCATCCTGCATCTTTCCTTTTGTTTTAATCCCCAGGCTGTTTTAAAGTTCCTTATGTCTTTCAAAATGCCTCCATAGACCCTACCATACACATCACTGCATTAAAATCCTTCATTCACTGAATCTCAGGAGTCTCTTCCAGTTTTATCAGCTCTATTACTTTAGACATCCTGGCCAAATACAACCTTTCATCAGAAATAGCCACATATTTCAACTACAGTTACTCACCAGCCTGACGACCTCCATCAATTCTCAATGATTCTGGGGATATGGTTATTTTTCTTGGCACAGACCCAAAAACATTGAGGCTAGAATTTAATATTAACCTGGTCTCCCTTGGATGTCATTAAGAGGATTTAATTACTGAAACACTAAAGGATATTGTCATAACATAGCAATTTCACTCAACATGGCTTCATGCCCAAGACCATTGTGACAGTCGCATTTTAAAGTTCTAGTGTCCTGGGGAGGGTCATATGGGGGGGGGGGGGCGTGCAGAGGGCCCAATCCGCAATTTATTTGTTTTTTGTTTGTTTATTCAAAAATAGTTGGAATGAAGTGGGATTTCTGACAGATAATTTGAAGTACTAGTCATTATTTCTAGATGTACAGAAATATTTAAACCAAGGTGTTCTTCAATTTCTTCAATCAACTATTATATATTCAGGACATTTATAGAAAAAGAGCCATTCATACTTTAAAGAAAGTATGCATTCATATTTATTGCATATGTATACAGAAAGTTGCCTTGAATTTAAAGAGAAGGTAATTTTCATATTTTTAATAAATTTGTATTGCATAATTCCTCAGACTGAAATTTACACACTCTTATAGAAAAAAAAATCAAATAATTTCAAATTATAAAAAAGAGTCTTTCAACGTTGGCATTATTGACATTTTGGATCAGATTATTATTTGTTATTAGGGGCTGTTCTGTGCATTGTAGGGTTCTGTACCCACTAGATGCCAGTAACATCTTCCCCCTCTACCCAGTTGTGACAACCAAAAGTGTTTCCAGATATTCTCAAATGTTTGTTGCAGAGAAAAATCACTCCTGTTGAGAACCACTACCTTTAAAAGATGAGAAAAGATGCAAGAGAAAGATGCAAGAGAAAGAGTTGGAGATGGAATGGTCCATGGTGCAACAGTGACTGCAGCTCCTGTCCCCATCCATCAGCAATGATGAGGATCAAGTGTTGGCTCACTTGCTGAATGGGGCAACATGGAGCTACGAAGAGTTTCTTCCAACTGACCCTGGGACCTTGACTAAGTCTCAAATTTACTCCATATGGAAAGCAGGTAGTCTAAAATACTAAGTAGATAGTAATATTTTTTTGGGGGTAAAACTAATCATTTAGGAATGTGCTTATATCAGTTGGCTTTTGCTACTTAACAATTTGGTCCAGAGGTTGGTGACTAAAAAAAAAACACCCCACATTTATTATGGCTCACTCATTGGATTGGCTGGGGTTCAACTGGATCTGATGGGGCAGCTCTGCTTCTCATTGTAGGTCTGTGGGTTACCCGGGGCTGCAGCAATTGGCCAAGCTCTGCTCTCTGTCTGCCTCCTCCTCCTCCCAGGAATAGCGGGCTACTCAGGGCATGCTCACCTCATGGTGACACCAGAGGTTCAAGAAGATGAGCAAAACACACAGGAACTCCTGTGGCCTAGGCTCTGAACGGGTACTTCAGAGGTACTTCCTTCTCCTTCATTGTATAGGCCACTGTAAACCATGTGGCTGAACCCAAAGTCAAAGGGAGGGAAGAACAGATTCTGAGAAGAACATGGCAAAAGGGATATAGGGAGGAGTGAAGAACTGGGGTCAATGACACAATCCATTACAGATCATATATACTAGTATTTATTGATATTAGAGAAAGAGAGAGAAGAAGGGAAAAGGAGAGTCAGAAACATCGATTCAAGAGAAAAAGATCTATCAGTGCCATCCGCAGAGCCTTGACCAGGATTGAACCGGCAACCGGGGCATGGGCCCTGACCGGGAATGGAACCAGCAACCTTTCAATGCATGGGACGACACTCAATCAGCTGATCCACAACGGCTAGGGCTACAGCTCATACTTTTAGAGTAGTAGTTTTGCTTTTATATAATTTCAGAACTCAGCTCCTTTATTTTGCTGGACACTTTTGTAATGAGAGAATATAATCATAGGGCCATTTCAAGAATGGCCTCATCTAGTAGGGAAGAGTGAACCAAACTATTTAAAAATTTATTTTAACTCCAGTTAACCCAGTCTTGCATGAATTAAACACATTACTAGTATAGCTCTGTGGTTTTAAGAAAATGGAAAAAGCTGAATTTGCTTGACTTGGAGGCAGAGAGGAAAGGTATTTTCAAAGATGTTTGTGAGATTAAGATGCAAAAATACCAATTTTTAAGGTTTGGCAGATTGCAGATGTCTTAGCCAGAGGAATGTTGAGTCAAAATCTCTGGAATGTTTTAGCAACCTTTTAAATTTATTGCCAGGAAATGTGTGTTGCTTGCCTTCTCTGCATCCTTTCAAAAGCTCTCTTGTGAATCCAGTCCAGTCTAATCCAGGTAGGGAGGTTTGGAAACGGTGATAAGTGAAAGGTGTTTTCTACAGCTGTGCCTCAGCACCAGCCTGACCCAACACCGTTAATATATAACCCGAGTTTGACCACTTCTTTTATGTTTACATTTGGTTTCAGTATTATTTTTAACTGGTGAGAGAGCAGTTCAAAGTCATCTTTTTTTCTTGGCACTTACCCATGATTTCTCAAGGTTCAGTAGCAGAATGGTAGTAAGCCATGTCAAGGGGATTTGAATCTGGTGGAATTAAAAATCACTTACTTTATTATACCTGTGAGTGCACAGGGGATGGATGGGTCAGTCTGTACAAGGATAAGACATTATATAAAAAATAATGTTGAGTTGTTTTTGATGATGTCCTAGATTTAGATGATCTTCATGCTTGGTATCATTCATTTAAAAAAAATGAGTGTGTAGTCCTGGCTGAGTAGTTCAATTGGTTAGATTGTTGTCCTAAAATGCCAAGGTTTCAGGGTCAATTCCCAGTCAGGGCACATCAACCAATGAATGCATAAATAAGTGGAACAACAAATTGATGTTTCTCTCTCTCTCTCTCTCTCTCTCTCTTTCTCTCTCTCTCTCTTATTCTTTCTACAAAATCAATTGAAAAATTAAAAAGAAAAGAGAAGAAAACTTGTCTTAAAAAATAGGTGTATAGTAGAAGGGCCAAAACAAAACAAAATAAAACAAAAACAAAATGCTAACAATGACAAGTGCTGGAGAGGAGACAGAGCAACGAGAGCTCTCAAACGTTGCTGTTGAGGATACCAAATGGTTCTGTCCAAAAGTAGTTTGGCAATTTCTTATTAAGCACATGCATCCCACCCCCAAATAGTTACCCATGTGAAATTAAAACTATTTTCGTACTAAAACCTCTACATAAATGTTTATAGTTGCTTTATTCATAATCACAAAATATTATTTAATTGGTGAATGGGTAAACAAATTGTGATTCATCCTACAATGGAGACTTACTCAGCAATAAAAAGAAACAAACTGCTGATCTATACTAATAAAAGGGTAATATGCTAATTAGACTGGGTTGACCAGATATCTTCCAGATGCCCGACTTCCTTCTGGATAGTTAGGGGGTGACCAGGCTGGCAGGGAGGCAGATAGGGGGCTACCAAGCCAACAAGTAGAGGAGTTAGGGGCGATCATGCAGGCAGGTGAGTGGTTAGGAGCCAGTGGTCCCAGTTTGCGAGAGGGATGTCCAACTGCTGGTTTAGGCCCCATCCCAGTTGTACATCCCCTAAGGGGTCTCGGATTGGAGAGGTTGCAGGCTGGGCTGAGGGACCACCCCTGCTCCCATGCACAAATTTTGTGCACTGGGCCTCTAGTATATGTAATAACATGGTTAAATCTCAAATGCATTATGTTAAGTGAAAGACGCCAGACTCAAAAGACTTTAAGCTGTATGATTCCATTTATATATCATTCTGAAAAAGGTACCCTGACAGGGACAGAGAACAGATTAGTGGTTATCAGGGGTAGGGGCTGGGGCTATCTACAAAGGGACATGTGGGAAACTTTGAGGGTGATGGAATTGTTCCAATCTTGATGTGACAGTCATTACACGACTGTGTACTAGTACATATGTCAAAACTCATAGAACCCTGCACTAAAAAGAGTGAACTTATACCCCAACTTTTAATAAAGTATGTGGCTTATTGTCCCTCAGAATCTCCTAGTTTTATATTTGTCAGTGTAACATACCCCTGTTTCCTTGAAAATAAGACAGTGTCTTATATTAATTTTTTCTCCCAAAGTTGAGCTAGGTCTTATTTTCAGGGTATGTCTATCTTTCCATGTGCTAGGTCTTATTTTTGGAGGATGTCTTACTTTTGGGGAAACACGGTACATATAGGGGTGGTGACCTAACTCATAGTTGTTTCTTTGGAAATGGCTCGCTGCTCCCCAGTCCCTGCTGAAAAGGGGGGTAGGTCATGCTTCTTCCGGGTGATTCCACACCCTGACCCCACTTCATAGGACCAAGGGTGGATATCGACCCTGGATTAAAACAGAAACATGCTGTCTTTGAGACTTTGCTCTAAAAGACATGGAAACCACAGTTCAGAAGGTGTATATTTTGGCTTCCAGATATGTTTTGCTTGGCCCACACAATGTTTAAAGAATTGAATTAATGGCCATCGTTAAAAAAAAAAAAAAAAAAAGGGAGATTTCACATAAAAACCCAGATTTCCGGCTTCTCTTTAAGAAGTGGGAGGATTTGGTAAAATGGACCCAAATTCCTGCCTGGAGACAATGGCGGGAGCATCGACCCCTTCACACCAGCATGCCCTCTCCATCTGCTAGCTCCTACCACTCCCTGCGGTGGCCAAGTGGTGGCTGGGCTGCTATTCATGTGCTGATATAATAGCATTAAGGAAAATAGGAAATATTTCTTGTACCTTCTCTTTCTATCAAAAGACCATGTTTAATGAAAAACAAGAATGAGCATATTACATTGTGAAAGTGACGATTATTTTAGTGGCTTATAATAAGCAAACCTAATATGTCTGTACTGAAGAAACACAAATTAAAATTCCTTTCTGAAACAAACATGGATCTTTACACTCATCCATGTTACCCGCCTGGTCTCCGTAGGCATTTGAATTTGCACCACTTTCCCAAATGGTTGCATAAAATTAAATGGGGACCTCGGTGTCACTGAGAGGAGAAATGAAGAGCCTTTACAAAGAAACAAGTCTGCAGATTATTTTATTTTATTTTATTTTTTTAAAGAGAGCGAAAGAGAGAAATTGGGAAGGGGATAGAGGTTCAGCCAAGAGGGCAGGTGGGTTTCCTTCAATCACAGTAAGGAAGTTGGGGGAAACCCATGTCTCCCAATTGGTGTTTTTCAAACTTTAATGTGCACAGAAATCCTAGGACAGCTCATGTGAATGCCCTTCTGACTCAGTTAGCCTGGAGTGAGGCCTGAGTATCTGCATGTCTAGCAGGATGTCTGATGATGTCCCTGCTGCTGGTCAGCTGGCCATGCTTTGAGGTACAAGGCACCAAGCCATACTGTCTACAAAGAAACAGTAAAACTTTACCAACCTAAACTTTGTTTTCTAACCATTTGCTCTCCACGGAAGTATCAGTAACATTTTTTTTTTTTTTTTTTTTTTTTTTTTGCCACCTAACCAAAGAATATCACTCCTCTTGAACAAGAGGCTATTTAAAAGGTAGTGCAGGCTAGCACTCTGGGAAGCAAGAATAATTCTGTGATGAACTGGCTGGTATCTTCACAGAAGCCACCGGGGTGAGCAGCCCAGCTCTGTGACTGTGCATCTGGCCTTCTTAGTCTTGATGGCTTTGCTCTGTGGCTTTAGGCAAATTACCAGGTCTCTGCCCTCTCACCAGTCAAAAGGAGGTGAGGTTTTGACCTTGCAGGCTAAGGAGGTGAGGCTTTGACCTTGCAGGCTATTGTGAAAGATGTAATTAGCATTTGTGAAAGCTTGCAAGATCTCTGGAGGAAAGGTACTTCAGAAGAACAAAGTAATTTATAGTCACTATCATCATTTCATTACCAGTTTAGCTGACATACCAGGGAACTCAGTCCACTGCTCCACAATCTACAACTCCCTCCTGGTTGAGAATACTGCAGGGCGGCTCATTCCAGCTGTGCAAGAAGATAAATTGTGCTTCTTTTTCACAACCCTTCCTATTACTTGTGTGTCTACCACTTCAGGTTTTCATATAACAACTTTTCATGTAAAGAAGAAAGATTCTGCTTTC